AGCCCATAGAGCCCCATAGAGCCCATAGAGCCCCATAGAGCCCCATAGAGCCCCATAGAGCCCATAGAGCCCCATAGAGCCCCATAGAGCCCATAGAGCCCCATAGAGCCCCTAGAGCCCCATAGAGCCCCATAGGGCCCATAGAGTCCCATAGAGCCCCATAGAGCCCGTAGAGCCCCATAGAGCCCCATAGATCCCATAGAGCCCATAGAGCCCTATAGAGCCCCATAGAGCCCCATAGAGCCCCATAGAGCCCCATAGAGCCCCATAGAGCCCCATAGAGCCCCATAGATCCCCATAGAGCCCCATAGAGCCCCATAGAGCCCCATAGATCCCATAGAGCCCATAGAGCCCCATAGAGCCCCATAGAGCCCCATAGAGCCCCATAGAGCCCCATAGAGCCCCATAGAGCCCCATAGAGTCCATAGAGCCCCATAGAGTCCATAGAGCCCCTAGAGCCCCATAGAGCCCCATAGAGCCCATAGAGCCCCATAGAGCCCCATAGAGTCCATAGAGACCCATAGAGCCCATATTGACCCATACCCATTGACCACACAGAGCCCCATAGAGCCCATAGAGCCCATAGAGCCCCATTGTGTCCCATTGCACCCCATAGACCCCCATAGCTCCCCATTGCCCCCCATTGCACCCTATTGCATCCCATAGGTCTCACTGCACCCTTACTGCCCCCAAAGCCCCCCATAGACCCCATTGTACCCTATTGTCCCCCCTAACCCCCCACCTCCCCACTGCCCCCCTGCTTCTGGGGTCCCCTGGGGTGGTTCTGACCCATTTTGGGGGTCTCTGACCCATTTTTTGGGGTCCCTGACCCATTTTTGGGGGTCCCAGACCCATTTCTGGGGGTCCCTAACCCATTTTGGGGGGTCCCGGGGGGGGTTTTGGAGTCCCTGACCCATTTTTGGCAGTCCCTGGGGGGTTTCTGGGGTGCCCAGACCCATTTTTGGGGGTCGCAGACCCATTTTTGGCGGTCCCTCACCCATTTTTTGGGGTCCCTGACCTATTTTTGGGGGTCGCAGACCCATTTTTGGGGGTCCCTGGGGGGTTTCTGGGGTGCCCAGACCCATTTTTGGGGGTCCCGGAGCCATTTTTGGGGGTCCCAGACCCATTCTTGGGGGTCTCTGACCCATTTTTGGGGGTCCCAGACCCATTTTTTGGGGTCCCTGACCCATTTTTGGGGGTCCCAGGTCCGTGACGATGCTCGGCGCCTGCATCCCTGCCTGCTCAGCTTCCACAACCTGCCCGATCCCGAGCGCAGCTACAACCTGCAGATGTCGGGGGAGACCCTCAAGTAAGGGGGGGGTCCCCTGTGGGGTGGGGGGGGGGATGTGGGTTTTGGGGTCCCCCCCATTGATCCCCCCCTTGGATGGGTTTTGGGGGGGCCCATTGGCGTTCCCATTGGGGTTGCACATTGAGGGTGCCCATTGGGATGCCCATTGAGGGTTCCCATTGGGGTGCCCATTGGGGTTATCTGTTGGGGTACCCATTGAGATGCCCATTGGGGTTGCCCATTGGGGTGCTCATTGGGGTTGCCCATTGATGGTGCTCTTTGGGGTACCCATTGAGGGTTCCCATTGGGGTTGCCCATTGATGGTGCTCTTTGGGGTACCCATTGGGGGGTACCCATTGGGGTGCCCATTGAGGTTGCCCATTGGGGTTACCCATTGGGGTGCCCATTGAGGGTGCCATTGAGGTTGCCCATGGGGGGTGCCCATTGGGGGGTGCCCATTGGGGTTGCCCGTTGGGGGGTGCCCATTGGGGTTACTCATTGGGGTACCCATTGAGGGTGCCCATTGGGGTTATCTGTTGGGGTACCCATTGAGATGCCCATTGGGGTTGCCCATTGGGGTGCCCATTGGGGTGCCCATTGAGGGTTCCCATTGGGGTGCCCATGGGGGGTGCCCATTGGGTGGTGCCCATTGGGGTTACCCATTGGGGTGCCAATTGGGGGATGCCCATTGGGGTTGCCCATTGATGGTGCTCTTTGGGGTACCCACTGGGGGGTGCCCATTGGGGTTGCCCATTGGGGTTGCCCATTGGGGTACCCATTGAGGGTTCCCATGGGGGGTGCCCATTGGGGGGGGTGCCCATCGGGGTTCCCCATTGGGGTCCCTCACCCCCTGCCCCACAGGACGCTGCTGGCCCTTGGCTGCCACGTGGGGATGGCCGATGAGAAAGCCGAGGAGAACCTCAAGAAGATCAAACTCCCCAAAACGTGAGTCTGGGGGGGACCCAGTTTGGGACCAGTTGACCCCAGTTTGGTCCCAGTTGACCCCAGTTGACCCCAGTTTGGTCCCAGTTGACCCCAATTTGGTCCTAGTTTGATTCCAGTCAATCCCAGTTGACTTCAGTTGACCCCAGTCGAACCCAGTTGACCCCAGTTCATCCCAGTTGACCCCACTTTGATTCCAGTTGATCCCAGTTGACCCCACTTTGCTTCCAGTTGACTCCAGTTTGATCCTAGTTGACCCCAGTTCATCCCAGTTGACCCCACTTTGCTTCCCGTTGACCCCAGTTCATCCCAGTTGACCGCACTTTGGTTCCAGTTGATTCCAGTTTGAACCCAGTTGACCCCAGTTCATCCCAGTTGACCCCACTTTGCTTCCCGTTGACCCCAGTTCATCCCAGTTGATCCAGTTTGATCCCAGTTGACCCCAGTTCATCCCAGTTGACCCCACTTTGGTTCCAGTTGACTCCAGTTTGATCCTAGTTGATCCCAGTTGACCCAGTTTGATCCCAGTTGACCCCAGTTCATCCCAGTTGACCCCACTTTGGTTCCAGTTGACTCCAGTTTGATCCTAGTTGATCCCAGTTGACCCAGTTTGATCCCAGTTGACCCCAGTTCATCCCAGTTGACCCCACTTTGGTTCCAGTTGATCCCAGTTGACCCAGTTTGATCCCAGTTGACCCCAGTTCATCCCAGTTGACCCCACTTTGGTTCCAGTTGATCCCAGTTGACCCAGTTTGATCCCAGTTGACCCCACTTTGTCCCCCCCCCCCCAGGTACACGATGTCCAACGGGTACAAGCCGGCGCCGTTGGACCTGGCGCACGTGAAGCTGACCCCGGCCCAGCTCACGCTCGTCGACCGCTTGGCCGAGAACAGCCACAACGTGTGGGCCCGCGACCGCGTGCAGCAGGGCTGGAGCTACAGCACCGTGCAGGTCAGCAGCAAACACCCCAAAACCAGCTCCAAAACAGCCAAAAACGGCCAAAAACACCCCAAAAACCACCCCAAAACCAGCAAAACCCACCCAAAAACGGTGAAAAACACCCCAACATTGACCAAAATAGACCGAAACACGCACGACGGCGTGTGGTAGGGCTCGAGCTACAGCACCGTGCAGGGCAGCAGCAAACACCCCAAAACCAGCCCTAAAACAGCCAAAAACGGCCAAAAACACTCAAAAAACCACCCCAAAACCCACCCCAAAACCAGCAAAACCCACCCAAAAATGGTGAAAAACACCCCAACATTGACCAAAATAGACCGAAACACGCACGACGGCGTGTGGTAGGGCTCGAGCTACAGCACCGTGCAGGGCAGCAGCAAACACCCCAAAAACAGCCCTAAAACAGCCAAAAATGGCCAAAAACACTCAAAAAACCACCCCAAAACCACCCCAAAAACAGCAAAACCCACCCAAAAACGTTGAAGAACACCCCAACATTGACCAAAATAGACCGAAACACGCGCAACGGCGTGTGGTAGGGCTCGAGCTACAGCACCGTGCAGGTCAGCAGCAAACACCCCAAAACCAGCCCCAAAACAGCCAAAAACGGCCAAAAACACCCAAAAAACCACCCCCAAACCACCCCAAAACCAGCAAAACTCACCCAAAAACGGTGAAAAACACCCCAACATTGACCAAAATTTACCGAAACACGCGCGACGGCATGTGGTAGGGCTCGAGCTACAGCACCGTGCAGGTCAGCAGCAAACCCCAAAATCAGCCCTAAAACAGCCTAAAACGGCCAAAAACACCCCAAAAACCACCCCAAAACCAGCAAAACTCACCCAAAAACGGTGAAAAACACCCCAACATTGACCAAAATTGACCGAAACACGCGCGACGGCATGTGGTAGGGCTCGAGCTACAGCACCGTGCAGGTCAGCAGCAAACACCCGAAAAACAGCCCTAAAACAGCCCAAAACAGCCCAAAACACCCCCAGAAACCACCCCAAAACCAGCAAAACCCACCCAAAAACGGTGAAAAACACCCCAACATTGACCAAAATAGACCGAAACACACGCGACGGCGTGTGGTAGGGCTCGAGCTACAGCACCATGCAGGGCAGCAGCAAACACCCCAAAACCAGCCCTAGAACAGCCAAAAATGGCCAAAACCACCCCAAAAACCACCCCAAAACCACCCCAAAACCAGCAAAACCCACCCAAAAACGGTGAAAAACACCACAACATTGACCAAAATTGACCGAAACACGCGCGACGGCGTGTGGTAGGGCTCGAGCTACAGCACCGTGCAGGTCAGCAGCAAACACCCCAAAAACAGCCCTAAAACAGCCAAAAACGGCCAAAAACACCCCCAAAAACACCCCAAAACCACCCCAAAAACAGCAAAACCCACCCAAAAACGGTGAAGAACACCCCAACATTGACCAAAATAGACCGAAACACACGCGCCGGCGTGTGGTAGGGCTCGAGCTACAGCACCGTGCAGGTCAGCAGCAAACCCCAAAATCAGCCCTAAAACAGCCTAAAACGGCCAAAAACACCCCCAAAACCACCCCAAAACCAGCAAAACTCACCCAAAAACGGTGAAAAACACCCCAACATTGACCAAAGTAGACCGAAACACGCGCGACGGCGTGTGGTAGGGCTCGAGCTACAGCACCGTGCAGGTCAGCAGCAAACCCCAAAATCAGCCCTAAAACAGCCTAAAACGGCCAAAAACACCCCAAATACCACCCCAAAACCAGCAAAACTCACCCAAAAACGGTGAAAAACACCCCAACATTGACCAAAATTGACCGAAACACGCGCGACGGCATGTGGTAGGGCTCGAGCTACAGCACTGTGCAGGTCAGCAGCAAACACCCCAAAAACAGCCTAAAACATCCAAAACCAGCCAAAAACACCCCCAAAAACACCCCAAAACCAGCAAAACCCACCCAAAAACGGTGAAAAACACCCCAACATTGACCAAAATAGACCGAAACACACGCGACGGCGTGTGGTAGGGCTCGAGCTACAGCACCATGCAGGGCAGCAGCAAACACCCCAAAACCAGCCCTAGAACAGCCAAAAATGGCCAAAAACACCCCAAAAACCACCCCAAAACCACCCCAAAACCAGCAAAACCCACCCAAAAACGGTGAAAAACACCACAACATTGACCAAAATTGACCGAAACACGCGCGACGGCGTGTGGTAGGGCTCGAGCTACAGCACCGTGCAGGTCAGCAGCAAACACCCCAAAAACAGCCCTAAAACAGCCAAAAACGGCCAAAAACACCCCCAAAAACACCCCAAACCCACCCCAAAAACAGCAAAACCCACCCAAAAACGGTGAAGAACACCCCAACATTGACCAAAATAGACCGAAACACACGCGACGGCGTGTGGTAGGGCTCGAGCTACAGCACCGTGCAGGTCAGCAGCAAACCCCAAAATCAGCCCTAAAACAGCCTAAAACGGCCAAAAACACCCCCAAAACCACCCCAAAACCAGCAAAACTCACCCAAAAACGGTGAAAAACACCCCAACATTGACCAAAGTAGACCGAAACACGCGCGACGGCATGTGGTAGGGCTCGAGCTACAGCACCGTGCAGGTCAGCAGCAAACCCCAAAATCAGCCCTAAAACAGCCTAAAACGGCCAAAAACACCCCCAAAACCACCCCAAAACTCACCCAAAAACGGTGAAAAACACCCCAACATTGACCAAAATAGACCGAAACACGCGCGACGGCATGTGGTAGGGCTCGAGCTACAGCACCGTGCAGGGCAGCAGCAAACACCCCAAAAACAGCCCCAAAACAGCCAAAAATGGCCAAAAACACCCAAAAAACCACCCCAAAACCACCCCAAAAACAGCAAAACCCACCCAAAAAGGTGAAAAACACCCCAACATTGTCCCCATGGTGTCCCCATTGCGTCCCCATTGTAACCCCATTGCATCCCCATCGAATCCCCATTGTATCCCCATTGTAACCCCATTGCATCCCCATTTTAACCCCATTGTATCCCCATTGCATCCCCATTGCATTCCCATCGTAACCCCATTGTAACCCCATTGCATCCCCATTGTAACCCCATTGTTTCCCCATTGCATCCCCATTGTAACCCCATTGCATCCTCATCGCATCCCCATTGTAACCCCATTGCATCCTCATCGCATCCCCATTGTAACTCCATTCCATCCCCACTGTAACCCCATTGTTTCCCCATTGCAAGCCCATTTTATCCCCATTGCATCCCCATTGTATCCCCATTTTATCCCCATTGTAACCCCATTGCATCCCCACTGCATCCCCATTGTATCCCCATCATAACCTCATTGCATCCCCATCGTAACCCCATTGTTTCCCCATTGTAACCCCATTGTATCCCCATTTTATCCCCATTGTAACCCCATCGCATCCCCATTGTAACCCCATTGTTTCCCCATTGTAACGCTATTTTATCCCCATTGCATCCCCATTGTAACCCCCTTGTTTCCCCATTGTATCCCCATTTTATCCCCATCGCATCCCCATTGTTTCCCCATTGTATCCCCATTTTATCCCCATCGCATCCCCATTGTTTCCCCATTGTAACCCCATTGTATCCCCATTGTTTCCCCAATGTATCCCCATTGTTTCCCCATTGTAACCCCATTTTATCCCCATTGTTACCCCATTTTATCCCCATTGTAACCCCCTTGTTTCCCCATTGTATCCCCATTGTTTCCCCAATGTATCCCCATTGTAACCCCATTTTATCCCCATTGTAACCCCCTTGTTTCCCCATTGTAACCCCATTGTATCCCCATTGTTTCCCCATTGTAACCCCCTTGTTTCCCCATTGTATCCCCATTGTTTCCCCATTGTTTCTCCAATGTATCCCCATTGTTTCCCCATTGTAACCCCATTGTATCCCCATTGTTTCCCCATTGTATCCCCATTGTTTCTCCAATGTATCCCCATTGTTTCCCCATTGTATCCCCATTGTATTCCCATTTTATCCCCATTGTAACCCCATCGCATCCCCATTGTAACCCCATTGTATCCCCATTGCATCCCCACGGTGCCCCCCAGGACATCAAGGAGAAGCGGAACCCACGCCTCGTCCCCTACCACCTCCTGGACGAGGGCACCAAGAGCCGCAACCGGGAGAGCCTGGGCCAGGCCGTGCGCACGCTGCTGGGCTACGGCTACAACATCGAGCCCCCGGACCAGGACACGCGTGAGCAGGGGGGCTATGGGGCTACGGGGGGCTATGGGGCTACGGGGGGATGCTGGTTCCTTTGGGTGCCACGGATGCAGGCTCCATTGGGTACCATTGGGGTGATGACTCCATTGGGATGATGACTCCATTGGGATGATGACTCCATTGGGTACCATTGGGATGATGACACCATTGGGATGATGACTCCATTGGGTACCATTGGGATGATGACACCATTGGGATGATGACTCCATTGGGTACCATTGGGATGATGACTCCATTGGGTACCATTGGGATGATGACTCCATTGGGATGATGACTCCATTGGGTACCACTTGGGATGATGACTCCATTGGGATGATGACTCCATTGGGTACCACTTGGGATGATGACTCCATTGGGTACCACTTGGGATGATGACTCCATTGGGTACCACTTGGGATGATGACTCCATTGGGATGATGACTCCATTGGGTACCACTGGGGTGATGTCTCCATTGGGTACCATTGGGATGATGACTCCATTGGGTACCACTGGGGTGATGTCTCCATTGGGTACCATTGGGATGATGACTCCATTGGGTACCATTTGGGATGATGACTCCATTGGGATGATGACTCCATTGGGTACCATTGGGATGATGACTCCATTGGGATCATGACTCCATTGGGTACCACTTGGGATGATGACTCCATTGGGATGATGACTCCACTGGGTACCATTGGGATGATGACTCCATTGGGTACCATTGGGATGATGAGTCCATTGAGTACCACTTGGGATGATGACTCCATTGGGATGGTGACTCCATTGGGTACCACTTGGGATGATGACTCCATTGGGATGATGACTCCATTGGGTACCACTTGGGATGATGACTCCATTGGGTACCACTTGGGATGATGACTCCATTGGAATGATGACTCCATTGGGTACCATTGGGATGATGACTCCATTGGGTACCACTTGGGATGATGACTCCATTGGGATGATGACTCCATTGGGTACCATTTGGGATGATGACTCCATTGGGTACCACTTGGGATGATGACTCCATTGGGTACCATTTGGGATGATGACTCCATTGGGTACCACTTGGGATGATGACTCCATTGGGTACCATTGGGATGATGACTCCATTGGGTACCATTGGGATGATGACACCATTGGGATGATGACTCCATTGGGTACCACTGGGATGATGACTCCATTGGGTACCATTGGGATGATGACTCCATTGGGATGATGACTCCATTGGGTACCACTTGGGATGATGACTCCATTGGGTACCACTTGGGATGATGACTCCATTGGGTACCATTGGGATGATGACTCCATTGGGTACCATTGGGATGATGACACCATTGGGTACCACTTGGGATGATGACTCCATTGGGATGATGACTCCATTGGGTACCACTTGGGATGATGACTCCATTGGGATGATGACTCCATTGGGATGATGACTCCATTGGGTACCATTGGGATGATGACTCCATTGGGTACCACTTGGAATGATGACTCCATTGAGTACCACTTGGGATGATGACTCCATTGGGTACCATATTGGGATGCTGTCTCCATTGGGATGATGACTCCATTGGGTACCACTTGGGATGATGACTCCATTGGGTACTACTTGGGATGATGACTCCATTGGGTACCATATTGGGATGCTGTCTCCATTGGGTACCACCGGGGCACTGTCTCCATTGGGTACCATTGGGATGATGACTCCATTGGGATGATGACTCCATTGGGTACCACTTGGGATGATGACTCCATTGGGTACCATTGGGAAGCTGTCCCCATTGGGTACCATATTGGGATGCTGTCTCCATTGGGTGCCATATTGGGATGCTGTCTCCATTGGGTACCATATTATGATGCTGTCTCTATTGGGTACCATAATGGGATGCTGTCCCCCTTGGGTACCATTGGGATGATGACTCCATTGGGATGATGACTCCATTGGGTACCATTGGGATGATGACTCCATTGGGTACCATCGGGATGATGACTCCATTGGGTACCACTGGGTGCCCCCGGTCTCTGTCCTTGGTGCTGACCCTCTCTCCCCTCCCAACCCCAACCCCACAGCGTCGGAGGCGGCGCCGGGCCCGGCGGGGGTGCGTCCGCGGCTCTTCCGTGCCGAGCGGGCGCTGGCGGTGCGCGCCGGGCGCTGGTACTTCGAGTTCGAGGCCGTCACCGGCGGCGCCATGCGCGTGGGCTGGGCCCGGCCCCACCTCCGCCCCGACGTCGGCCTCGGCGCCGATGAGCTCGCCTTCGTCTTCGACGGGCACCGCGTGAGGCGCTGGGGGCAACGGGGAGCTGGGGGGGGGGAGATGGGCACCCGTTGGGGACATCGTTGGGAATACTTTGGGGTGTGGTTGGGAACACGGGGGGAACCATTGGGGAACCATTGGGAACCATTGGGATATCATTGGGGAACCATTGGGATATCATTGAGAACACATGGGGAACCATTTGGGACCATTGGGAATCATTGGGGAACCATTGGGGAACCATTGGGATATCATTGGGAATCATTGGGATATCATTGGGGAACCATTGGGATATCATTGGGGAACCATTGGGGAACCATTGGGGAACCATTGGGATATCATTGGGAATCATTGGGGAACCATTGGGGAACCATTGGGAACCATTGGGATATCATTGGGGAACCATTGGTACATCATTGGGAACCATTGGGGAACCATTGGGAACCATTGGGACATCATTGGGAACCCTTTGGGGTATCGTTGGGAACACATGGGGAGCCTATTGGGAACCCCTTGGGACATCATTGGGAACTGTTGGGAATCATTGGGAACCCATTGGGAACCCTTTGGGACCCCATTGGGAACACAGGGGGAACCATTGGGAACCCATTGGGAACCAGTTAGGAACCCCTTGGGCCACATATGGGCCATCCCATGTCCCCATCACCCTATGGTCCCCATCACCCCATAGCCCCCATCACCCCATCTCCCTCCATCACCCCATCTCCCCCATCACCCCATAGCTCCCCATCTCCCCCATCACCCCCCATAACCCCATCAATCCATAGCCCCCATCACCCCCCATAACCCCATCTCCCCCATCACCCCATAGTCCCCATCACCCCATCTCCCCCATCACCCCATAGCTCCCCATCTCCCCCATCGCCCCATAGCCCCCATCACTCCCCATCACCCCCCATAATCCCATAACGCCATCTCCCCCATCACCCCACCTCCCCCATCACCCCATAGCTCCCCATCACCCCCATCGCCCCTTAGCTCCCCATCTCCCCCATCACCCTATTACCCCCCATCACTCCCCATCACCCCATTGCCCCCCATTCCATTGCCCCCCCATTCCCCCATCACCCCCATCACCCCATCACCCCATCACCCCCCATCACCCCATAGCTCCCCACGCCCCCCATGACGGCCTGGCCCCCCGCAGGCTCAGCGGTGGCACGTGGGCAGCGAGCCCTTCGGGCGGGCCTGGCAGGGGGGGGACGTGGTCGGCTGCATGATCGACCTGGCCGAGGCCCACATCAGCTTCACGCTCAACGGCGAGCTCCTCATCAGCGACGCCGGCTCCGAGGTGGCCTTCAAGGGCTTCGACGTGGGCGAAGGTGGGGGCCCATGGGGGTGAAATGGGTGACATATGGGGGGTGCAGTGGGTGCTCTATGGGGGGTGCAGTGGGTGCCATATGGGGGACCAATGGATGCTCTACAGAGGTTCAATGGATGCTCTACAGAGGTTCAATGGATGCTCTACAGAGGTTCAATGGATGCTCTATAGGGTTCAATGGATGCTCTATAGAGGATCAATGGATGCTCTATAGAGGTTCAATGGCGCTCTATAGAGGATCAATGGATGCTCTATAGAGGTCCAATGGGTGCCCGATAGAGGTTCAATGGATGCTCTATAGAGGTTCAATGGATGCTCTATAGAGGTTCAATGGATGCTCTACAGAGGTTCAATGGACGCTCTATAGAGGTTCAGTGGATGCTCTATAGAGGTTCAGTGGATGCTCTACAGAGGTTCAATGGGCGCCCTACAGAGGTTCAGTGGATGCTCTATAGAGGTTCAATGGATGCTCTATAGAGGTTCAATGGATGCTCTATAGAGGTTCAATGGATGCTCTATAGAGGTTCAATGGATGCTCTATAGAGGTTCAATGGGCGTCCTATAGAGGTCCAATGAGTGCCCTATAGAGATCCAATGGATGCTCTATAGATGTTCAATGGGCGCTCTATAGAGGTTCAATGGATGCTCTATAGAGGTTCAATGGGTGCCCTATGGAGGTTCAATGGGCGCCGTATAGAGGTTCAATGGATGCTCTATAGAGGTTCAATGGATGCTCTATAGAGGATCAATGGGTGCTCTATAGAGGTTCAATGGATGCTCTATAGAGGTTCAATGGGTGCTCTATAGAGGTTCAATGGATGCTCTATAGAGGTTCAATGGATGCTCTATAGAGGTTCAATGGATGCTCTATAGAGGATCAATGGGTGCTCTATAGAGGTTCAATGGATGCTCTACAGAGGTTCAATGGGCGCCCTACAGGGGTTCAATGGGTGCTCTACAGAGGTTCAATGGATGCTCTATAGAGGTTCAATGGATGCTCTATAGAGGATCAATGGGTGCTCTATAGAGGTTCAATGGATGCTCTACAGAGGTTCAATGGGCGCCCTACAGGGGTTCAATGGGTGCTCTACAGAGGTTCAATGGATGCTCTATAGAGGTTCAATGGATGCTCTATAGAGGTTCAATGGGCATCCTATAAGGGTCCAATGGGCGCCCTATAGTAGTTCAATGGGCATCCTATAGAGGTCCAATGGGTGCTCTATAGAGGTTCAATGGATGCTCTATAGAGGTCCAATGGGCACCCTACAGAGGTCCAATGGGCGCTCTATAGAGGTCCAATGGATGCTCAATAGAGGTTCAATGGATGCTCTATAGAGGTTCAATGGATGCTCTATAGAGGATCAATGGATGCTCTATAGAGGTTCAATGGATGCTCTATAGAGGTTCAATGGATGTTCTATAGAGGTTCAATGGATGCTCTACAGAGGTTCAATGGATGCTCTATAGAGGTTCAATGGGTGCTCTATAGAGGTTCAGTGGATGCTCTATAGAGGATCAATGGGTGCTCTATAGAGGTTCAATGGATGCTCTATAGAGGATCAATGGGTGCTCTATAGAGGTTCAATGGATGCTCTATAGAGGTTCAATGGACGCTCTATAGAGGTCCAATGAGCATCCTACAGAGGTCCAATGGGCACCCTATAGAGGTTCAATGGATGCTCTACAGAGGTTCAATGAGCATCCTATAAGGGTCCAATGGGCACCCTCTGAGTGTCCCCGTTCCCCATAGGCTTCGTGCCCGTGTGCAGCCTGGGCCCGGGGCAGGAGGGGCTGCTGAACCTGGGCCAGGACGTGAGCTCCCTGTAGACGTTCAATGGGCGCCCTATAGAGGTTCAATGGATGCTTTATAGAGGTTCAATGGGCGCCCTATAGAGGTTCAATGGATGCTCTATAGAGGTTCAATGGATGCTCTATAGAGGTTCAATGGGCGCCCTATAGAGGTTCAATGGATGCTCTATAGAGGTTCAATGGGTGCCCTACAGAGGTTCAATGGGTGCTCTATAGAGGTTCAATGGATGCTCTATAGAGGTTCAATGGGCGCTCTATAGAGGTTCAATGGATGCTCTATAGAGGTTCAATGGATGCTCTATAGAGGTTCAATGGATGCTCTATAGAGGTCCAATGGGCGCTCTATAGAGGTTCAATGGATGCTCTATAGAGGTTCAATGGATGCTCTATAGAGGTTCAATGGATGTTCTATAGAGGTTCAATGGATGCTCTACAGAGGTTCAATGGATGCTCTATAGAGGTTCAATGGGTGCTCTATAGAGGTTCAATGGATGCTCTATAGAGGTTCAATGGATGCTCTATAGAGGTTCAATGGGCGCTCTATAGAGGTCCAATGGGCACCCTATAGAGGTTCAATGGGCGCACTACAGAGGTTCAATGGATGCTCTATAGAGGTTCAATGGGTGCTCTGTAGAGGTCCAATGAGCATCCTACAGAGGTCCAATGGGCACCCTATAGAGGTTCAATGGGTGCTCTACAGAGGTTCAATGAGCATCCTATAAGGGTCCAATGGGCACCCTCTGAGTGTCCCCGTTCCCCATAGGCTTCGTGCCCGTGTGCAGCCTGGGCCCGGGGCAGGAGGGGCTGCTGAACCTGGGCCAGGACGTGAGCTCCCTGTAGACGTTCAATGGGCGCCCTATAGAGGTTCAATGGATGCTCTATAGAGGATCAATGGATGCTCTATAGAGGTTCAATGGATGCTCTATAGAGGTTCAATGGATGCTCTATAGAGGTTCAATGGGTGCTCTGTAGAGGTCCAATGAGCATCCTACAGAGGTCCAATGGGCACCCTATAGAGGTTCAATGGGTGCTCTACAGAGGTTCAATGAGCATCCTATAAGGGTCCAATGGGCACCCTCTGAGTGTCCCCGTTCCCCATAGGCTTCGTGCCCGTGTGCAGCCTGGGCCCGGGGCAGGAGGGGCTGCTGAACCTGGGCCAGGACGTGAGCTCCCTGTAGACGTTCAATGGGCGCCCTATAGAGGTTCAATGGATGCTCTATAGAGGATCAATGGATGCTCTATAGAGGTTCAATGGATGCTCTATAGAGGTTCAATGGATGCTCTATAGAGGTTCAATGGGTGCCCTATAGAGGTTCAATGGATGCTCTATAGAGGTTCAATGGATGCTCTATAGAGGATCAATGGATGCTCTATAGAGGTTCAATGGATGCTCTACAGAGGTTCAATGGATGCTCTATAGAGGTTCAATGGATGCTCTATAAAGGTCAATGGGCATCCTATAAGGGTCCAATGGGCACCCTCTGAGTGTCCCCGTTCCCCATAGGCTTCGTGCCCGTGTGCAGCCTGGGTCCGGGGCAGGAGGGGCTGCTGAACCTGGGCCAGGACGTGAGCTCCCTGCGGTTCTTCACCATCTGCGGCCTGCAGGAGGGCTACGAACCCTTCGGCGTCAACCGCAAGCGCCCGCTGCCCCTCTGGTGCAGCCACAGCCGGCCCCGCTTCGTGCCCCTGGCCCCCGACCACCCCCAGCTCGAGGTGAGGCCCCATGGGGGGGGCAATGGGGCGGCCCCATAGGGTTCGGGGTGGGGATGGGGATGTGGGAGGTGATGGAGCCATAGGGTGGGGATGGGGGGGGTGATGGAGACATAGGGTGGGGATGGGGATGTGGGGGGTGATGGACACATAGGGTGGGGATGGGGATGTGGGGGGTGATGGAGCCATAGGGTGGGGATGGGGATGTGATGGAGCCATAGGGTGGTGATGGGGATGGGGGGGGTGATGGACCCATAGGGTGGGGATGGGGATGTGGGGTGGAGGCTCCATTGGATGGGGATGGAGCCATAGGGTGGCGATGGGGATGGGGGGGGTGATGGAGCCATAGGGTGGG